GCCATAGCAGTTGACTCATCAAAAGTGGCAAAAATAGAAGTTGATCCATAGCAGAAGAGACAAAAATAGCAGTTGAGCCACCGGCAGCTACAACATAGCAGTTGATCACTCCCATAGCTGTTGAGAAATAGCAGTAGAGATACATAGCAGTTTAATATCTACCTAGTTTTTGAAAATCGAGTTAAAAAAGACAAACCTAAAATCAACGAGTTTCAGTAAACTGGCCAATACGCCTAAAAATCGGATTTTTAAGCTCAGTTCGAGTTTTTGAGCTTGAAATTGGGGGTTTTGTGGTCGAAACTTGAATTTTCAGAGCCAAAAAAGAGTTTTTGAACCCAGAGTTGGGTTTTGGACTCAAAATTGAGTTTTTAGAGCCAAAATTGAGTTTTCAGAGCCAAAGTAGGACTTTCAGAGTCAAAAATGTGCTTACAGAGTCAAAAATAAGTTTTTGGACCCAGAGTTGGGGTTTTGGACTCGACATTGAGTTTTTTGAGCTCAAGTTTGAGTTTTCGGGACAGAAATCGGAGTTTTCAGTCAAAAATAAGGCTTCGGAGCCAAAATGGGATTTTCAGAGTCAAAAATGAGTTTTCGGAGCAAGAATTGGGGTTTCTGAGCTCAACTTTAGAGCATTCCAGTTCATTTCCGAGATTTTAGGTCTAAAATCTGCGGAAACCTCTAAAGAAAACCACTAAAGATTACCAAGTTCTAGGCGAATTCGCTGATGAGTTACAGCCCGAAAATCAATACATTTTAGAAAAAAATGTATGAATTCCTTTCAAAATCAGTGAAAAATCTAGCCAAAATTCATCAAAACTCACGCCAGTTCTCCGCTAATCTTCGTCTTCACATAACGATTCGGCTCCGAGACGATTCTCACTGGGAGTACTGTTCTAAAATGGGCGGCCAGTTCCACCACCTTCTTCCCTTTTTTCTCCGATTTCTCCACTGCTTTTTCCTCCCCTTCAGAATCCCCCAACAGCTGAAAAGTCTTGGCAACTGGCTCCTGGAACACGATCATCGGAGATGCCACGTGGACTTTCCACGGAGCTGCCATCGGGTTGTGCTCCGAGAACTTGTGAGGGAGGAGGATGGTGTGGGCGTAGAGGTATCCATCCTTGGCAACTGACGCCGGGATTTTTACTTGGAGCTGTAGGGAAAAAAATCAATAATTTTCCTAGAAAAAATCAAAAAAATTTCAGTACATCTTTCTGAAAAGCATCGGCCACTTGCACATTCTCCACAGTCGTCACCAACGTCTCCAGAGCATCCATTTTGGTGGAAAAGTAAACGCGGAGCTGGAGTAACTCGTATAATCCCTCACTATTCGGTCGGATTATTGGCTGAAAATTTGGAAAATTTCCGGAAAAATCGATATTTTTATACCGAGTAGCACATTGAATCGGGATCCTGGGCGGCGCATAATTCGGGTGTGAAGAGTTTGTAAAGTTGAAAAAAGTTGTAGAACATGAAACTCAGAAATAGGGTGGAGACGATTTTTGTGAGGTTTATCGTCATCTGAAATATTTTTAGAGGATTTTGTGGGGTTTGTTAATTTTTAAAGGTGCAGAATAATTCTCGCCACGAAAAAACTTGGATTTTATGATCGAAAACCGACTTTTTCAGACGAAAAAAGTCGTTTTTCCATTGAAAAACGCTGTTTTTCGCAAAAAATGTTCAATGGTACAGTAAGATTTTCACCCGTGGTGAGACCCTTCGAATAATCACTGCATGCGCCTTTAAAAAAAACAGTACGCTTCGCTTTTTTTTTTATTCCGGGTTTCGCTCATTTCGGGAGCTCCAGAGATGAGCGAAAAGCAGTTTTGCAATTAAAAATGTAAGAAAAAAACCAGTTGCCGAATAGAACGGATTTGAATTCAAATGAAAGAAAAAAAATAAAAATTCAAAATTTAGGGGAAAAAGTGAGTTGTTTATTGACAGAGTATCAGTTTTGAGCGATATAAACCAGTATAAAAACAGAGTGAAATGTAAGTTTTTCTTATCAAAAAATCACAAAGAAACCACGTTTCTCATGGATCTCTCCTTAAAATAGACATTGCGCTTCGGCACCTTCTCCTCCGCATTCTTCGGCTGCAACCATCCGCTCATCTTCTTATTCTGCGGCTTTCCCTCCTCCTCATCATCCTCCCAATACCCGGGGACGCATCGCTTCTCGACAATTGTGCTAGCGGTTTTCCACGAGGATCGCACTAAAGAGCAGAATCCGAAGACTGGATTCACACTGAGCTGGAGGAATTTCTTGGTGTTCGGGTCACCGGGATACCCGCTTCCAAACCCTGCATCTGGCACTTTTACGTTTTTCTCCTTGAATTCCCAGTGCTTCAGACGATGATCACGGGTAACCTTGGCAGCGATGGAAGCAGCACTGACGATAGGGAACAGAGAATCGGCTTTTTCAGTGACACAAATCGATATTCCGGGGAACAGCTTCTCCAGTTTCGCTTGATACGTGGCTTTCGGTCCGACTGTGTCTACCTTGATCTCCACCACATTCACATTACAATTCAATGCGTCTCGAATTAAAGCGATCGCCGCGTCGTGTGACACCTCATTCAGCGAATATTTCTGACGCTTTAGCATCGAAGAACTGATGAGTTCTGGGGAAAGAGCTCTCAATGCGTAGGCGACAAGCTGCTGGATTTCTTCGTCGTTATTCATTTTTTCAAAGATTTCCTCTCGTTTCGCCTCGTTCAGCGCTTTCGAATCGTCCACTCCCAGAGCCTTCAACTCGTCATTTTGATCCAGTGGAGAGATGGCGGCTGCGTAGACCATCGGGCCGAGAACTGGGCCTAAAATTTATTGATCAATTTTTCTCTGCTCTTTATGTTTGTTTCCTACCTCTTCCCGCCTCATCAATACCCAAAACACACGGCACACCGTCGCCAAAGTCTTTCCACGTTTTACTCCGCTCAGTTTCGCATTTTAGGGACATTCTGAATGATTTTAACTTGTGATATTGCTTAAAATTGGACAACGAGTACGGAAAAACAAAATTCAGAAGAAAAAACAAGTGGAAACTATACGAAATTCACTGAAAACCTTGAGATTTCATGAAAAAAATTCAAAAATAAAAATAAAAACCAACGTGGCCGAAGAGCCAATAATGCAAGCGCGCTCTGTGGAGAACACTCGGCCGTGTAGTCCACGTGGATTGTGGGATTTTCCACTGGTTCCAGATAGATTTTTTCAGCCAGAATGCTCTGTTTTGAAGCGATTTTTTGCTGAAATTACTGAAAAAAACTTTGAAAAAAAATAGAAAAAAGAATTTATCAATTATTTGCAAAAAAAATAATTGAGAATCGAATTTAGAAAGATATGAAGAGAAAAACCAGAAAATAAAAACATTCCAAATTATCTCAATTGAACTAAAGTGTCATAAACCGCTTTCAAAAGCCTTTTATAGGTCCTAGCGGTGTCTCCAAACCCAACTTTCAACCCGTTACTCAAATAGGCCACAGTGATTTCGTTGTCAAAATCCGTCCGAATATTCTGCCCACCGTAGCCACTGTGTCCGAACATTTTGATATATTTCTGAATATTACCTCCATTAGAAAGCAGGACTCACTAAAGCCTTACGTTTAGATGCTTAAATTGCGCCAGCATGAGTCCCTGGCCTCTTGGGACAGTGGCACCGCTGATATAGTCCTCACTGGTCTGATAGTTTTCGAGCATTTGCTTCCTGACATCATCCGAAACCAGTTTTCCTGTTCTCAGCAGCTCGAAGACCTCAGCCATGGCTCGGGCCGTTCCGATCCCTAGAACTGCCGCTTGTTCCAAGCGGTGTAGATCCGGATTGTTCAGGGTCATGGCGCCCACAAATTTGATGAATGGGGTGCTTGCTCCGGACTTTGATAAGGTTCCATTGGTCCATTTATCTTTTAAGAACCGCCAAACATCGAAATCCTTCGGGGAATACCAAATTTCATCGATGACGTTCCAGAAATTTGGGTTTTCAATACGGGATACCCGGTGTTGTTCGGCCAGGGGGAGGCCAAGGTGGAAATCGATGTCTGGAAAAAAAAACAAAAACATTTAGCCCCGCGCGGAATCGAACCCGCGACCGAAATCTCAAGAGCAAACGTGTTAGCCACTAGGCCACTGGCGCCAAACTAGATAATGTGGCGGGGGGCCTACAGAAAACTGCGGGAAACCTTACCATGCTTCTCCGCAATCTCCTCCCTAAAATACTGTCCAACAGTCCTGCCCTTCTTATCCACCCGTCTCACAATCGCATCCACCAACCATCCGTGCGTCACAGCATGGTACCCGATCTCGGTCATCGGTGGCCAATTCGGTTTCTGCTCCGCCATTATTCTATCGATCACCTTCACATCCTTGGCGTCCTCCAACGAAATCGGATGGTCCGTGTAGGCCAATCCAGCCTTATGAGTGATCAACCACCGAATCGTCACATTCCCCTTCCCATGCTGTCCGAATTCCGGCCAGTGCTTCGTCACCAGGTCGTCATACTGTAGACGGTTCTCGTCGACCAGTTTAGCGATCACAAGTGCTCCCATTGCTTTGGAGCAGGAGAAGGCGACGGATAAGGTGTTGCGGGTCCATTTTCTTTGGGATTCTCGGTCAGCGTACCCACCCCAGATGTCGATCACTTTGCGGCCTTTGTGATAGACAACGAAGGCGGCACCGGAACGCTCCCAGTTTTCTTCGAGGTTTTTTCTGGAAGATTTTGGGGGATGAGAGGTTGGCTTCCTTGAATTTAGAGGAAAATCGATAAACATACCTCGAAATCTGAGATATATAGCTCAAAAACTCAAAAACTGCCGATTCGCAGCCCTATTAGAGTAAAATTCGACTTCCATAGCCATTTTCCGAATCGGAAAAAAAACAAAAAGTTTTGACCCAGGGTGGATTCGAACCCGGGTCTGGAATTTGGAAAACGGGGGTGTTAGCCACTAGGCCACAAGTACCAGACAATTCAGAAGCCACTAGGTTGTTTGAAAAAAAAAAATACAAAAAAGTTTTGCCCCAGTGTGGAATCGAACCCGGGACCGAATTTTGGAAAACAAGTGCGTTAGCCACTACGCCACCACTGCTAAAACCGAGGAGGTGATAGAGGGCGTATATGAAAGACGCCACCTCGCTATTTTTTTCTAAAGGAGGAAGCCTAAACTTTCCATCAGTCGGGGCTGCCCTCAAGCCCCTCCCCCTTACCGAAACGCCTCTGCCACCGGTCTCCACTCCTTCACCACATCTCCATCGACATGAACTTCCTTCACCTGTTTCCCAGACTTCCACCAAGTCAGGGCGAAGCCCAGTACGAACACTAGTATTGCGGATTTTGTAGAGTTTCGGAGCATCACTTGGTGCTCTACAATTAGAGGTTTTATCGAGATTTTCAAAATTTATTGGGGTTAAAAAGAGAGCAAAGAAAGAAGAGGAAGAAGAGATTTTTCTCGAAAGAACGGGAAAAAATTGGATGGATCATTTGAGAGGGACCCGGTGGGGTAGGGATTTCAGAAAAAAAATTTCAATCAGAAAATGAAAAAAAAAAACGCGGGAATTCGAAAAAATCGGATAATACACAGGGAAGAATAGGGGCTAGAAAACAAGGACTAATCAAGAAAAAAAAATTTTTTTTTTGGGGAAAAAAATTATTTCTGCTGCGAGTGCTCCTCGTCATCATAGGTGGCACCGAAAATGGTGACACCGGCGACGAGTGCGGTGACGGTGAAGAATTGCGCCATGATACGGTATTGCATCATTTTTTGTGCGCCAACCTTGTCGCCGACGAATGAGGATCTGAAGATTTTGGGATGGGTGAAAAAAAAAGGTTTTTAAACTAAAATTACCTAGTCTAGCCCTGGGGATTGAAGAGAGAGAGAGAGAGAGAGAGAGAGAGAGAGAGAGAGAGAGAGAGAAAGGGAGAGAGAGTATTGGAAAATGGAGATTTAGAGAAAAAAAATTAGGCGTTTCCGGACAAATTTTGGTGAGGTGGTGGTGGTTGCCAGGGGCAACCATTACAATTTTATATAGATTTTTATGATCTTTGAGATCGAAGGGCGGAGCGAGATGGGCTCGGCCCACTTTTTGGAGACGTAAAATCTCTTTTTTCAAGTTTTTTGAGACAGGATTTAGAGTTTTTTGTGAAACTTTTTTTTTGAAATTGCAGATTTTTGAATTTTTCGAAAAAAAAATTTCTGGAAATTCGATTTTTGACAATTTTTTGAGGATCAGAATTTTATGTAAGAATATTCAAAATGTTGCAAAAAAAATTTCAAGGTCGATTTTCTCGAAAATTTCAAATCTTTGACTAAAAAAATTCAAAAAGCCCGCGAAATTTTCAAAATTTCTGTTGAGAAAATTCGATTTCAAACAATTTTTGATGTTAAAAAAGTCTGAAAATTTCGAAAAATTGGAAGTTTTCTCAGAAAAAAATCCAAAAAAAACAATCCGAAAAATCGGAATTTCGAAAAATCTGCTCGCATTTTTTTTCAAATTTTCTATCAAAAAAAAAAACCCCAACAACCGAGGTAAACAAAACAATCAAAAAATTGGTCACAAATCATACATAGACTACAGTCTAGTCCAGTCCCTAAGACACACATTGACCACCAAACCATAACTGATAAAAAATATATAATAATTTTCTATACAAAACTCCATATTATATACCAAATCAAAAGTAACTTCTGGAAGGTCCTAGAGACTTCTGGGGGTGCACTCTGAGGCTCCGCCCACTTAATGAGTCTCCGTGAGGGAGGGAGACCCCAACTAATCCCCGCTTCTTTGCTCTCACCTCAAAAGATCAAAAGATCACGTGTCCTTTAGACAGAGGACACGTGGAAAGCACGTGGGGCCCGAAGGGGCGGAGTCTAGGGGTCAAATTAGTGAAAACGGGTCAAAAATGATCATATTTTGGACAAAAAGTGCTACAATTGGCGAAAAATCGACTAGAAATGCCAAAAATGGCTTGAGATCGGGTAAAAACCAATGGAGGTTTTGGAAAGTGGGCCTAAATATGTTGAAAATAGCCAGATCACGGTGAATTCATTTGTACGTGTTTTCAAAAGGTTTCATTCGCGGGCTCTGTCTTACTGTATGGTCGCATGCCAACTGCGGCGCAACTCAGCGATACGTAGACATTTTTCTCATTTTGTTGAAAAATTAAAAAATCAGGGCCAAAGCTTTTTTTGAATTAGATTGAATATAACTTTTTCTTCGTATCATGTTGAATACAATATTAACACAATTCGATCGAAATTTATTACTGAAAGATGCTTTGGAAACATGGTGCGCGCTCCTTCGGCTTAAGCGCGGCTTACTGTCAGAATTTAAAGACGCAATATGAAATTTGTAAAAGCCCGTGTGAGATGGAGCGTAGAAACCGGGAAAAAAATTGTACGTACAAAAAAATTTACCGTGCCAGATTTCAGTAAAAAATTGACAACATTTTGATTAAAAATTCACGGAAACTCGCCAAAAAAAAGAGCGAAAATCAATGAAATTGGTGGAAATCTGTGCTAAAACCATTCTAATTTTACAATTTTAGGCACTAAAATCAATCAATTTTCGGTGAAAACCACTGAAAACTAGCCTAGATTTTTTTCCCTCTCAGGTTAGACCCAGAGAAACTAGAGTGTCTGTCTTCTCTGCGTCTCTCTCCTTCTCTCCTCTCTCCTGATTCATTGTGAATTCCAAAAATTATGCCCTTCTATTAGAGGTTTAAATGACCCTTTACTCACTTGAACATTCCCAAAAGTGCGGCCGTCGTGAGACCCATTCCAATGATGACACCCGGATTGCTGGAGGCGTTCGAGAAGACGCCCGACTCCTTTTTACCGCCCGTGTTCTTTCCGGCATGATAGCCAATATCCACTGGGATTGCTGGGATCTGGAAATGGGGGAAAGTTTGCTCTACCGCTAAAAAAATCGAAAAACGTGAATTTGTGACGTTTTCCGGGATTTTTAGGCAAAAAGGGTCAAAATCCGTCTAGAAGTTGGGAATTCGTGTCGAAAAATCCCAAAAAAAAACTCGAATTCCGTATTTTGAAAATTTGCTATGTGGGAAAGTTCGCTCTATTGATAAAATTGAGTTTTTTTTACTGAAAATGGTCGAATTGGCTCGAAATTGTGTCAAATTTAGCCAAGAAAATGCGAAACATCTAGTTTTTTTTGAAGAGTTAAGAAAATGCGCTCTACTGCTAATACTCAGAAAACCTGATTTTTTTTGGCAATTTTCAGGCATTTTCAGGTCAAAAATGTCAAAATTCAACTGAAAATCGGTTTTGCACGCTAAAATTGGCTGAAAACTGCTGAAAACCGGTAAAAACTAGTTTTTTTTCCTTCTGAACGCAATTTTCGGATTTGAAGCCTTTTTTACCGAAAAATGGATTTCTTGAGCTCAAAACTTATGGCTTAGGGCCAAAATTTGTGCTTTTTCTGCTGAAAATTTCGAAAACCCGACTTTTTTGCCAAAAAAAATAAATTTTCGCCGAAAGCTAGAGTTTTCCGCAGCAAAATCGATTTTCCCTTTAAAAACTCACTCCACTGTACTTCTCCTTGTTATCGGAAGTCCGGGCGAGCTGCTCAGGCGTCAAATGCTCTCGCTTCCACTCGTACGATCCCTTTTTCGGCTGCTCCTCGTGAATTCCGGCGACGTTGAGGAAGGCGGTACGGAAAATGCCCATTTTTGAGTTTTGGGTGGGAAAATGTCTGAAAAATGGGTTAAAATTGAGGGAAAAATCGATAAAAAAGAGCAAAAATGGTCATGAATGGGCGAACCGATTGAACGGATACATTGAGAACAAAAATCGATAAAAAATTTAAAACTAAAAAAACGAATTTTATACAAAAATGAACCGTATAAGCAAAGAGGTGTTACGAGAGAAAAAAAAGAAATAATCGGTCAAAAAAAATTTTTTGTTCACATTTTGTGAACGACGACACCGGCGTCACGATCACGGGCGATCTTTTGTGCCATCGCACGTTCGGCAATGTAGAATGTGGAGAAGAAGAAGATGGAGGCGGTGACGATGAACACCACACGCATTCGATCGTGCATTCGGTTCATTGTGCCGTGACTGCAAAAAAGAAATTTTAGGCGGAGTTTGGGGCGGATCTTGAGGTTTCGAGGTGAAATTGGGTGGAGCTTGGGGTCTAAACCAAAGGATTTTTACCTGGAATTCCAAGGGAATTGAGCTGAAAGTCAAGGGTTCTTGGCACAAACCCCAGGGATTTTTTGCCTAAATCTGAGAGATATTGACCTAAATACGAGGGATTTCAGCAGAAATTCAAAAGACTTTCAGCCCGATTTCGTGGAATTTTGCTGCCCTGTAACGTGAGGTTTTGACCTCAATTCGAGGATTTTTTTAAATCTAAAATTGAATGAATTCAGCATAATTCCAGGGTTTTTTAGCCTAAATTTGAAGGAAATTAATGGAAAATTGGCGGATTTTAGCCAATTTTATAGCTAGAACTACGAATTTTCGAGCAAAGTTCTGCGATTTTCAGGAGAATACTTATCGAATAAGTGCGAAAATCGAAAATTTCAGAGTAAACTTTCTGAAAATTCAGCACAGAAATTTTTCTAAAACATTGACTTTTCGGCAAAGTTTTGATGCAATATTACTGAAAAACGGGATGATTCTGGTCAAGAATCAAGAGTTTTTGTTGGCTCTACAACAACATATTTTTCTAGAAAAATCACTCGTTTTGGAGGGAAAAACAAGAAACTTTTGTGAAAAATGATGTGTTCAGACGAAAATGATCAATTTTCGAGCGAGAATGCTCAGAAAAAAAATAGTCACAGCGTCCGTTTCAAATGTTTTTTCTCGATATTTTGGAATTCGAAACTCCGGCAAAAATTACTAAAAATCAATAAATTCCGGCGTAAAACACCAAACTATTTCCAGATTTCGATGATTCTCACTCACTGAACATAAGGCGGAATGTCCTGAACCGACGGGTAGAGTTTCGTGATCACCAAGAACTTCTTCTGCCATTTCGTCGGTACCTGCCCAGTCTCCGAGTCGGCGGCGCCCGTGAATCGGGTGTCCTGTACGTTCTGCTTGAAGTCGTCCTTTGTCGCGTAGGT